CCTGCCAGAGGACCCACCAGTAGAAAATGGGACATTATGTCACTTTCGCGAGCCGCCACCAGTAGAACAATTTTTGGCCTTAGGTAAAGTATACGTCAAAATACGATGTGCTATTAGGAGGCCGGGGTGCCCTAACCCACCTTACCCTAGCGACTCACTCATAGAAAACGTGATTGTTGCTGAGCCGCTGTGATTTATAGTACCACGTTATTTGTCCGTTGGGACAAATAGTACCTACTTACTGCAAGGTGAACAGATACATTAGGTGATAGGAAATGTGCACAACCATTTCTGTCAAGTCTGGGATTCTAATCCGGAACTCTCGATTATGCGTCGAGACCGAACCCGACTGTACTTCCGGGACCTAAGTATTATCAACTAAGTACACACGGAAATCACAATTGCGTGATGCATCAAATGAACAAATCCACTAGGGCCGTGACGAGGATTCGAACCTGCGTCCGAGAGCATCCCGGACCTCAGTCGATTAAGGCAGCGTCTGGGATGCTCTCGGACGCAGGTTCGAATCCACGTCACGGCCCTTCTGGATTTGTTCATCATCAACTAAATACTATCAATTCAGACTATCGACTTAGACTACTGGTACTGTTGGATTTGGTTAGCTTTTCTGACTGTTGTATCCACCTGTTGCGCAACGTTTAATGAGTGGTGGATTTTGGCTCCCAGGTCCTTTTCTTCATCAATCTGTTGTAATGCTGTTAATTTGATAGTTCTGGCGTGGGCTATTATGCCCCACATTCATGGCCTTGCATTTGTAGATATTAAACAGCAGGTGGCTGCAGGTAATGAATCCCCCCAATGGTGAACATTCCAATTGTAAACTATGTGAACAAGAGCTGGGACATACTGTCCAGCACTATATCTGTGATTGCCCTGTTATATATGACTTCAGATCTAATGGTATGAGGCACTTTGAGCTCTGTAATTACTTCATACACTCAGGAATATTGGAAGATATTCTTGTGCTGTACCCAGATTTTGCTAGTGGAGGGGAACAGATCAGCCTTACATTTTATGTTCTCACCTGATTTTTAGTCATAGTTGATTTGTTTTTGTATTAAGGCAGGCATTATCTCCCCTAATTCCATGTATGACTAACCATCCTGTGAGATGGGAAAAAAGAGTTGAACCTATAGCTAGTTCTTGATCTACAAGTGCCTTTACAATTCGTTATTGAAGAAGCCGTCTCCCAATCAATTTGGTGACAATTTTCTGGCAAATGAACAAAGCATTAGACAATTGGCCAGCATTCATGTTGGTCTCCGAATGTTGGCCTCCGAATGTTGGTCTCCGAATGTTGGTCTCCGAATGCATGATAGAGCTGATAAGTTAGCTAATGAATCTGCCTTTAAAGGAGCCGTTGAGTGTAACCTTGGATTGTCAATGAGCAATCTGAGAGCAGCAGTACACCGAGAACTTCAACAAGATCTTGTAGATCTGAGGCAAAGTGATATCGACACCAGTAATTTCATCTATCATCATACTATCATGCAAGAGGAGCCACACATCTATGGTTCATCCAATAAAATCAGCAGACTTCTAGATGTTACTACTGCTCGGCTTAGACTCGAGACAAGTATCTCTGGGAATTCTCATTATCTGCTGATGTAAACCTGACCAAATGTAAACTGTGTCAACAAAATTATTCGCAGACCCTCCGTCACTATGTGATGGAGTGCGAAAAGATACGTGAGTTTAGAGACAATTCTATAACCAATGTTCCAGAGATATGTAAATATTTCATTCAAAATGATCTGCTACCAGAAATTTTAGCCAAATATCCCCAGTTTGCTAACTGTAGGTAGTAACTAAGTGATTGTAACCTATCCACCGCTGCCCACTGGATGGGGGGCGGTGTGCAGGACAAACATATCAATTGTGACACTAGCTCTCCACATGTGTCAGTTGCTTAATTTAGAAACTGTACTTGTGGTCGATCTCGAACCCATTGTTGATGTGATGACTTATACTGAATTTTGAAACTAGCTCATCAAGATTGTAACTTGTTTATCTAAATGAATTATAGGGTTCAGTCCCTGAGCCCATTATGTGCCTCTGTAACCCTTTTCACTACCGCCCACAATATGGGTATGGGGTGCATAATAAATGAACTAAACTAAAAAAAACTTACTCTGATTATGTGCCTGATTGATCGACTAATATTAAGCTAGTTCTAGTGATATATTTACATGAGTTACCTGATTCACCTGAGGGCCACTAACTCTAGTGGCCTCGACGAGGACAGGAAGCCGGCGACGTGTTGAAGGTCCTCCCATCCTTTGCCTTAATGATATTTTCCAGTTAGATTATAAAAGTTAACACAGTTTTGGCAAAATATTATAAGCATATATGTTACCACTTAGTTACTAGTGTGGACAATTGGGGGACTTTTGACAAACCGGCGGCTTCCTGTATTCGTCGAGGCCACTAGAGTGTTAGTGGCCCTCAGGTAAATTCAAGTAACGCTATGCGTGTTATTGGCTTTACAAGAATGTAAAAACATTAAAGCTATGTACTCTCATAAACCTAATGTACTTTCTTGTATATAAATAAATAAATAAATATTCAAGCATAAAAGAGAACCCCCTTTCATTCAAGCACGTTTTCTCTAATCTTTTCAAAGAAAACGTGTAAGTTTATACACAGACCACACGGGTGAGACTGAATTACTGGCTCAGCTCCGCGCACTCACACACAGAATCAGCTGCTGATACTGTTAGTGACAACTTGTCACTAACGCATTGAAGAATAGCGGAGGAGTAATTTTCTGATTCAATTTCAGCTCTTCAAGCACTTAAAACCCAACATTCAAAATAGATACCGGCTTAGTGGACAGCGCTCGGGGTTCGTAGTCCTGAGGGGTCTGGGTTCGATCCCCGGCGGAGGCGGAAACAAATGGGCAGAATTTCCTTCATTCTGATGCGCCTGTTCACCTAGCAAATAGGTATCTGGGAGTTAGAAAGCTGCTATAGGGCTGCTTCCTGAGGGGTGTGTAAGTGTGAAAATTAGGATTAAGGACTTGCCCGAAACGCGATGCGTGCTAGTGGCTATACAAGAATGTAAGAATTCTTGTATATATATATATATATATATATATATATATATATATATATATATATATATATATATATATATATATATATATATATATATACTGCTAAACCACAAGTAAGAGATAAACACACATCAGGGACCAACCCCTGCAAGTGACTCGAACCCAGAAAGCACAGGTGTTCGCGCACATGAGCATAACTGGTACTCTGACTACTACACCACGCAGACCCTACAAAAGGAACCCTGCATTGATAGCGCTTTCCCCTTTCGAGCGCTGCTCGAAACGCTTTGCGTCATAGTGGCTTTAGGCATTGTATGTACTAGCTCAATCTATAAATCCATCAATGTTTGTTTCACACCTTGTATGTATGTACTTTACCTGAATAAACATTTGAATTTGAATTTGAATTTGATAATTCCCTTCCCCCTACATAGGTGTTGTCCAGCGTGATGCGACAGACAAGGCAGCTAAAGCTGCATGTGATAAGCCTGAAATTGAGTTCGATTCCAATCTCTTGTAAAAGCCACAGTATTTCAAGAAATTAGAAGATCAGTTACCTGAGTTTATCTGAGAGCCTCTAACACTAGTAGTCTCGACGAGGACAGGGAGTTGGCGGCTTGTCGAAGGTCCCCCCCATTTGCCTTGATCTTTTCCAGCTGTACTTTAAAAGTTAACAGAGTTTAGGCATTTACGGCATAGAAAGGGGGGGGGGGAAGCTATAATTAAGCAAAAATCGGAAGGGAAATAAGCACGGAAAGGGACTCACTGTCACTTCAAGACGATCTAAATAAGGTTTTGAAATGGTTAAGAGATTGGCAGATGCAGTTTAATGCTGATAAATGTAAGATTTTGAGGCTGGGTAGTGATGATAGAGTTACAAGATACGAACTAGATGGTGTTGAGATTGCGAAGTCGGCTTGCGAGAGGGATCTGGGAGTTATGATTAGTAAAAATTAAAAAAAATCAATGCCTAAATGTTCGTAATATGGCAAATAGGACACTGGGATTTATTAATCGAATCGTTAATAACAGAACACCTGGTATTGTTCATCAGCTATATATCTTGAATTTGAATTTTGAATCTTGTTCTGGTTAGGCCCCATTTAGATCATGCAGTTCAGTTTTGGTCGCCGTACTATAGAATGGATATAAATTCACTTGAATGTGTCAAGGGGATATTAATAGAGAATACCCTATTAATATCCCCTTGGTTATGTCCATTCATCCACTTGTAAACCTCTATCATGTCACCCGTAACTCTCGCCTTTCCGGTGAATGCAATTTAAGTTTTGTTAATCACTCTTCCTATGACAGGTTTCTAATCTGGGGAATTAACTTTGTCATCCTACTCTGGATACGTTCAATTTTACAATCAAATGTTTATCAGGTATACATACTGTGCTGTACCCAGATTTTTCTAGTGCAGGCTAATAGATTAGCCTCGCATTTCATGTTCCCTCTTGATTCCATATATGTGGACTCCATGTATATGGATTCCATGTATACATACACTCCATGTTCAAGTTCACTCCATGTATGTATGACTAACCATCCCGTGAGATGGGGATATTAGATGAACTTATAGCTAGGTTTCGATCTACACTTTGGAATCTTTCATATAGAATAGGGTAGCAGCACATTGCTGTGTATACCTAAGCTTGTTAACAAAAAAAGAAGAATAACAGTATATATATATAGCTACGAACTTAAGATTACCAATAAGCAGAAAAATAGGGTTATTTAATTAACCCAAAAATATATAAAGTATTTCAAGACATACAGTTCCTCATAATTATTTCTTTAATATTAAAGTTATGTTTAATTTATGAAAGTGACATAAATTTATATATTAGTTTCTTGTATATAAAATAATTTCCAAATTTGTTAAAAATAAGAATATTTTTACAAGACTGTGGCATGCAGGGGTCGGCGAAGAGGAACGTGAAGCAGTTTGTAAACATGGCAGACGAGGTGGTGAGGCGGCGTGAGCTGCGTAGGAGAAAGATATTAGAGAATGCTGAGGAGAGGAAGAGGAAAATATTTGGTAGCAGTGCCACGGCTAATGATGCCACGCTTACCAACCAAGTGCAAAGTAAGGCAATCTCCCCTCCTGTCAATAGTCTGTAGTCGACAATATATAGCCCAAGAAACTATTCGTTTTAACCATTTTCTTTTTTAGTTACTGACATACTTAGTTATTCTTGTCGCGGATCTTTAGCCAGATGCCTTTATATTTAGTTCTTGGTAAGGTTGCCAAAGTATTCATAGCCATAATTTGCAACCCTTTGCTATAAGAAGTTTTATTTGCTCATTTATCCATATCTCGCCTATGTTATCTGCGTGGGGGATCTACACCCTTAATTACCTCCTACTGCTATTTCTCAACATAAATCATAATTAGAACAATAACAAACATCCCTCTCAAGTTTATCTCTTTAAAATTGAACTGTACTGCCAATCCTGATCTTAAGCAAATCAAATCAAATGTTTATTCAGGTAGAAGTACACACAGTACAAACAAGATGAGTCAGAAACATAATGTTGGATTTCTAGATAGAGCTAGTACATACAAAGCCTAAAGCCACTAATACGCATAGCGTTTTGGGCAACCTAGAGGGTCTTTTTAGAGGGAAAGCCTCTTCCTAGACCTTCCACTAGGAAGGTCTTCCTAGAGGGCTGTAATAGAACCCACGGTCGGCCGAGCGGACAGCATGCTGGACTTGTGATCCTGTGGTCCTGGGTTCGATCCCAGGCGCCGGCGAGAAACAATGAGCAGAGTTTCTTTCACCCTATGCCCCTGTTACCTAGCAGTAAATATGTACCTGGGTGTTAGTCAGCTGTCACGGGCTGCTTCTTGGGGGTGGAGGCCTGGTCGAGGACCGGGCCGCGGGGACACTAAAGCCCCGAAATCATCTCAAGATAACGGTCACCACACGAGAAATAATACCTTTTTTCATGTTCCTAGAGTGAGGCTCAACCAAGGAAGAAATGCTGTGCAAATAAAGGGTCCCAAATTGTGAAATGATCTTCTAAATGTAATTAAAAGCTGTTCATCTCTCAACTAGTTTAAAAGAGAGACTATGAAATATTTATTTAATATTATATAACTAATTTCACTCACATTACCTCACCGAAAGAAGATTTTTTGTCTTACTGTTATCTTAAATTCTATTTACTAAAATTATATGCTTTTCTTCATTGTCATCTAATTAGTAATTGTACCTATTTTTGTAAAATTGCTTACTCAAGCCATATATGTTATCTTACATCGTGTTTATTTTTAAGTGTTTACCCAATTAAACCTTTCAATTTTACTAGTTTACACTGTATTATATAGTAGCTTTACAAGAACACACCTTTCTATTTACTTGCTGTAATTAATGTTAAAAATACTTCTGTACTGTTGCCAGAACTACAGATTCCATAATGTAATAGTCTACAGCTGTCATCATCAAGTATCACTTTTATATTGTATCACTTGTTGTATTTCATGAAAATTCTCACATATGTTAGCTTACTTCTCTTTTAGTATTGTTTACCCCATTACACCTGTAAATAATTTTTAATTTAAATTATTCTGAGTTTCACCCAAAATGCTCTATACTGTACTGTAGTAGTGGCTTCATTTTTGTGTAGCCCCAGTACCTACACTTGTCCCTCCAGCTGATGTTTTTCTTTTGCACATTCTTAGGAATAAAAGTATTATTATAATTATTTATGCACAAAGAAATCACATTAACGTGATGTATCGATGAGAAAATCAATAGGAGCCGTGAGGATGATTCGAACCTATGTGCTGGGTACCCCAAGCAAATGCCTTAGGCCACTACACCACGACATGGTCAAAAGCAAGCAACCTGGGATTCAACTGAATCATCTAGGGGTCCTGAGGCCCAAAGTCAAATGTAATTTGGAAGAAGTTTATTTTGAGAGGCCAGATATTTTTCTTTGCAGTCTATATTTTCATATGATGCACTGTAGATCATTTACTGTAGACAAAGATTTATGGAAAAGTGGGAAATGATAATGATGTTGAAACCTTGCAAAGCGATCTACATGAATGCCACAAATGGTCAGATGACTGGCAAATGCTTTTTAATATTGACAAATACAAGACCCTTCATGTGGGATATAACAACCTACACCACAACTACTAAATTAATAACATTACATTACAGCAGATTGATGAGGAAAAGGACCTAGGAGTCAAAATCCACCACAATGAAAGTTGCACAGCAGGTAGGGACAGCAGTCAAAAAACCTAAACAAACACTTGGAATAATCAAGCGTATCTTTGACCTTAAGGAAAAGAAGGTAGTGATTCAATTATATAAATTTCTGGTGCTTTGGATTACGTGGATTACTGTATCCAAGCACGGAGATCTCATCTTTAGGAGGACATAGTAGCTCCGGTGAAAGTGCAACATCGCGCAACAAAAATTATTCCAGAGATATCAGAAACGGTTGAGGGCCACAGGGCTATCATCACTGCAAACCAGGCATGACAGGCGGATCTCATTGAAACTTAAAATACCGAACAATTTTGAGGATATTGATCTGAAAAGTTTCTTCATAAAGGTCAGATGTAACACAAGCAAGGAGCAACGGTTTCAAGCTCAACGAGCTACAATGTAGGACTGAGAATAGGAGATACTTTTTAACCCACAGGGTTATAAACTAATGGAACTGCCTATCTGCCATAGCCATAAATACCAAAACTCTGTTACTTTTAAAGTACAGCTAGAAATGATTATAAAGGCAAATGGGGGGGGGGGGGGGGGACCTTTAGCAAGCCGCCAGCTTCCTGATCTCATTGAGACCACTAGTGTTAGTGGCTCAACTCTGGTATTTAAATACAGATTTGTCTAACGTGGCATGCATAGCAAGCTTTAATGTTTTTGCATTACCTACTGCTGCCCTCTGACTTTGAACAATGAACTTCCCAATATTTTTCTGCCTCATTATATCAGATATATCAGACTGTAAGTTCACTGATGTTGAGTTTTTGAGTGAGTCTGGTGACAGAGTAGCTATTTTCGGCCTTCTTTATCAGGTAAATTTTATGTTAAAAAAATCAATAAATTCTTTGATTAGAATGTGAGCCAGTTACGAATTCTTTAGAGCTTGGTTCATTCTGCCAAGTCCCACGGTTTTTTGCCCTTTTGACTGAATACCAACAAATGAGCCAATTGTAGTGCGAGCCTCTAGACACCTCGTGTTTACACCTAGGTCATTTTACAGTTAAGGATCATACCACCGGATCACTTTAATTTATCTGTCTACTAGAAAGCTGTAGTTCAGTAGATATACATAATTTGTAATGTTGCACCTCAAGTATGAACTGAATCTGCTTGCTATTGCCTTACATTCAAGTAAAGGTTTTAAAGTTTAACCTTAACAGATGCCTAAATTCTCTATTTGCCTACATACCTACATTCGCTATTTTCATTTGCCTACATACCTAAAATTTTCATTTTAGCACACTACCCTTCAAAGGAAGTTTTGAAGAGGAACAAAGCACTGCAGATATACAGTAAATGGTTTTCCATTGGCAGAGACACAAAGCCTGTAAGGCTTATCTTAACCCCTAGACCAACTACTGACTTTCCCCTGAATACAACCCACAGTATTTGCTTAACTTCCAGGGACTGTACCTACTGGTATATCATGCTAGGTGAACAGAAGCATCAGTTTAGAGTAAACATTCCCTAACATCTTTGTCCTGCTATGGAAATTGAACTAGGAACCTTCTGGTTGTGAGAAACTGTGCTGACCACTGAGTTACAAGTACAGGAGGGTTCATGTTAAAACTGTAAACAACCTGTTTAATTATACAGTATAAGGTAAAGTTACTGAACCTTGTCCAATTGATAAAGTACTGCACAGTAATGTATTAGCCTCCATTCTTTAAACACTGCTGCACAACATTACTATTCAGTACTGTACAGTATTTCATTGCGTCAACAACATGTATTACTTGGTACCCAAGGTGCCAAAGAGTACCATTTTATTACCTCTTTTGAATCTTTTTGAGAGTATGTAACATATCTTCAACAAGCAGTGATTTGGTTGTTAATACACATCTTTAGAATTTGAAACATTGTGGTTCTTCTTTTGACAAAAAGTTTCTTAGATGACTAACGGTACAGTACTATACGTTGTTTTAATACTTGTGTAGTGTTTGGTTTTCAATGTCATTTTCATAATTTACACTGATTCTGGTAAAATTAAGGGACAAGGGTTTAAGCATATGAAAATGTTTTTGTGAGTACATTTGTGTACCGCTCTAGGCTATCTAAATCGTGTTTCATTACAGAGCCAGATGGTCTTGGGTTATCAGCACCACATACACTCCTAGCACCTGATCCTCTGAGTGAAGAAGAGTTGGATAGCAGTCCAACATTTAATGTCAGCAGTTCTACAATCAACACTGATCTATACAGTGATGCAAGCAATATTGGTATCAGGAAAGAGTGCATTAATGTTACCCAGTCAAGCCTTGCTAATTCTAGTAGAATTCAAAATGGTTCTGTACCTGACTTAAATGAACAACTAATAAATTTTAATAGGTTAATGACAGCTAATGGTGGCATCAGTTCCAATACTGCACATAGCAGGGTAATTCAGGAAGACGTCCAGCTTATTGCCTCCGTTGAGACACACAAGTCCTCTGTCATACTTGTTGGAATTGCCTTATTAGTGTGCTCTCTGTTTTACTTCAATTATGGCTACATTATGTTCAATAGCATTTCAGCTCCATTTATACTATTGGAAGCTCTACTCCTATGGCGTCAAAGGAATGCTATTGAAGCCAGCTCTAGAGGTGGAGCTGGTTTCTTGGGGATTGCTCTTATGTTGTGTGGAGTCCAGCAGACTACAATTACTGTATATGCTCATTTAATTACTATTGTTAAGTGTTTCTTTGAAGATTTTGCTATGTATATATTAACTGTTGTGCTATGGTGCACTGTGATTGGGATACCAGGATTAGTGCAGTCAGATTCTTTGGGATTTTCCCATCGAATCCAACCAGAGGATAACATTCCTAATGCAGATATGTATAATTATGAGGAACATTTTTAGCACTAAGTCAGCGACTATCCACTGTGCCAATTTCAGTACTGTATATATTCTTTCTGCTTTTTTCAGTTAATACTTACTTTCTGATTATTCAAATTATATAGATTATTACCAACTTACCTTCAAAGTGTCATATAAATTAATTTCAAATTGAAAAATTGAAGGAATCATTTTTTTTAATAAATGAATATTCCTACTTTCTCTTTTGTTTAATATTTACATGATTGCTCAACTGAAGATTTAGTTTTTACATAATGGCAAATTAAATGATTGTACAATCTAATAAGTTATTTTTTTTTTTTAACTAACAGAAAACAATTTGAACAGCTTTGTCATGGGAGTTGCTGACATTCCTTCCCTCCACCTTATTATCTTATAGAATTAGTGAATACTACCGCTAATTCAGATTTACTTTCTTGTTTACTTCACCAGTGAGGTTACCATGTGGTGGTTCCAAGGATCAATGTCCCTGCAGCCTTTGTTATCCTTTTATATAAATTAACCCAGTGTGGAATCATTGGTCAAGATTGACTTGAATGGAAAATTGTGACGCAAATCGAATTTCAAGATTTCGAGCCATAAGCATATATCAGGGAGCCATGGTGATGCCACCAAGACCTTGAACATTTATAAGCATTTTGAATATTAAAATTTATTTTGTTTAATGGTTGTGTGTGTGTAATTGCTGTACTTAAGTTATGCTTAGTGTGATTCTTGAGAACATAATTAGGTGAGCATGACATTTGCATGCAACATTGCGAGCTGTGTATGTATGCATGGGTAAACATTTTTAATGCGCAGAAAGGAATTTCCTGAGTTAGAGCTTACTTAGCAGTTTGATCAAGCATTATTCTCAATATTATGAGTCAAATTGCAGTGCTCGGCAATAAAACTACATTAGGATGATAATGTATCATTATTTAAATTTCCTCACAGCTTGGATGTCAATGGTTTTTCCTCTCCACTCAATATGGGCCACTCAACATCACTTTCAACATAAATAAGTTCATTGATCAATGTTAAGTTAAACTACTGGAACTAGTTTACTGCTTTATGTCTTTTTAAACTATCACCCACTTATGTTCCTTTATTTTATTTTGTAAAATGGAAATAACAGTGATAGTAACAAATCAAATTGCTAGATATTAGAACTCCAGCTGAAGCTATAAGAGCCTTAGACCAAAACCTTGTTATATAAAAGGTGTTAATATTGAGCTTAATTAAGAAAGGGAATATTGATTAGTAAATGCTAAGTGGTAATGGCATGGTATTTCTAATATGTCAAGTCATAATTGTTTGGAAATTTGCTTCCTTTCCTTTTCTTTCCATTTTAAAGGAAATGCTTTTTAAAATGCAGCAGAATAGTTATGATTCAGTTACAAAAATAAGGATTTATTTTAAAGTTACAGCTGGATTTTTAATTTTGAAAATAATTGCATATTTGTGGCTAAGTTCTGAATATTGAGCATAAGTATTTTGGCTCAGTTGTCAAGATTAGTTGGTATTAATTAACCTGTTAATCATGGCTCATTTTATAATGCTGGCACCAAGCCTTAAAACTTGAACCGAGATGAGGTTTTCTTCGTGGCATCAGTTACTTGATATGCAATGCTTGTACCCAACTTTCAAGACATTCTTCACAAAGTATTTTAAATAAAGGACTGCAAATTTTGTTTTCTAGAGGTTTTGTATTTAAGATTGTTTCTCTTAACCCTTGCACTGCTCTGTCCGTTATTTGTAATTACCTCATGTGTACAAATAACCCCAAGTGATATTTTCCCATTTGATTTGTTAACTTTTTTTTTTTTTTATGCGCATATGATGTATTACATTTAAATAGCTGAACAGTCCAGGGGTTAAATTTTAAGGATAAATATGCTTCTGTCTTACTTTTTCCACAATATATTTAATTTTTGTGTAAGTACAATATACTGCTCATGTCACTGCTGTGCTGTAATATCTGCTCGTGTCACTAATATGCTACAATATAAACTGCTCGTGTCACTAATGTTCTAGCACAGGCAGCTTGAAAATAAACATATTCCACAAGATTACTTAATGCAGTATAGGGGTTTTATAACCCAATTCACTCAGGAAGGTCTCGTCCAGTAGTGGATTGGTAAAGGCTGGAATATTATTGCGTATTTGTATAAATAACATTGTACAGTAAACCCCTAAATGTTTGGTAATTTACCATTGGCCAATTTTAATTTTTTTTTAGCAAAGCACGGTACATAAAACTGTTATCAGTGAGATAAATGGGACCTTCTCACAGTTTTGCTATTTGTCCAAATGTTATGCATAAAAAATGCAATAAAAATAAATACAAAATAATAATTTTTTAAGATGCCTTCCTTCTGACACCAAAATATGCATTGGGAAACAGCTCTGGCTAGGCTGCATATCGGCGATATGTGCTTAACTCGTAGGCACATAATGGACCAACACCCTGCTTCTTTGTCTCTGAAATGCAATGTCCCACTTACCATTGTGGGCCTCATCTCATAAAATGTCCTGATTTTCTAGGTGATCGTAGGTCCTGCTTTCCCAGCATCCCTTTTGAGTCGTATATCTGTAGATAAGATCCTTGGTGAATCAATATCTTTGACATTGCGTATCTTGTCTTTTTGCTCTAGTATTGGCATCCCGAATAATATTTAGGACCTTTAGAATATCCCATGACATGGATGGTGATAAATAATCTTCCAGCTTGGTGTCTTATTTTGATAATTACTTTTGCAAACATTGTTCCTAGGGAACTACCAACAGTGCAGTGGCCAAGTGTAAATAAGATTGTTTCAGACATTCATGTTTAAATGCTTGTCTCTGTAAGTAATTATCAAAGGCGGCACCAAACCGGGAAGGCTATGTAGCACTACTTGTCTGTTAGATCAGTTTATTTAAATCCTGTATCACTTGTATATATATACAGTATATATTTTTTTTTTTTTTTTTTTACATTTTTCTGAAGTTTATAAAAGACCAGTATCAACATTTTTTCCCCCATCATAATCATTCCTCCATTTCACACTTTCATTTGGTGGAACATTTGCTTGGAGAAGTTCAAAGAACAATATTTGAACCCTTTACTAGTTGGTTAATCTTAACCAATTTTACTGTCATTTGCTTATACTGCACTAAAGACGTACTCAGTTGTGCTTGGGACTCTTCACCCCCATCCCTCTCCACGTCTCCCTTATCTGTCATACAGCCTTCCCTATCCCCTCTCTCTCTCTTCCCTTTTCTGACCCCTACCCCTCTCCCCCAACATCCAATATATAATAATACATAACAGTATACTATACAACACAAAAAAAAATTTTGTATGGTATGTTTTAACACAATGTAGAAGTGGCAATATTTACCCAAGTGCCACTATCTCTAGTGGTCTCAATGAGGATAGAGGGGTGTCAAAGGTACCCCCTCCCCATTTGTCCTGATGATTTTCATCAAACTAGATTTTGAAATTCAGCAGTGTTTAGGCATGTATGGCTTCAGGTTGGAATTTCCAAGGGAGTATAATCCTATGGGTGAAAAAGCAGCTGTTTTCTGTCCTGCATTGTGGCTTGTTAAGCTTGAAACCATTGCTCCTTGTTTGTGTTACATCTGACCCTTTGAAGAAGTGGTCTGGATCAATATCCTCCAAACTGTTCAGTATTTTAAAAGTTTCAATGAGATCAGCCGTCTTGTCTGGTTTGCAGTGGAAGTTCGCTGTGGCCCTCAACTGTTTCTGGTATGAGAGGCGACTTAGTTCAGGAATGATTTTTGTTGCCCGGTGCTGAACTCTCCAAAGCAGGTATGTCCTTTTGAAGATGTCTCCATGCTTGGAATCAATAATCCAAGTTGGGGGTGCACCAGAGATTTGTGCAACTGTATAAATACCTTCTTTTCCTTGAACAAATTTGTCTATTCAAATGTCCTTGAATAGACAAAGTTTTGTCTGTCTATTCCTATGGTTTAATTTGCTTTTATACTGCCACTTTCAGTGATTGGTGGATTCTGAATTCAAGATCCTTTTCTTCATCAATTTGCTGCAAGGTAATGTTATTGGTTTGGTAGGTGTGATGCACAGTTGTTATGCCTCACATCCAAGGACTTGCATTTTTCAATATTGAAGAGCATTTGCCAGTACAAACTTATGATCATTCCTTCCAGCGGTCGACACCGAAGACATATTCATAAATTTTAATTAACATGCTGTTCATTCATAAGAATTACTGAAATATAAATTATTGTTAGTAGGCATCATCAGTCTTAGGAGACTATCGGTTGTTGGTCTGGAGTGGCGTCTCCAGAGCGCAAAGCCAGGGTAGGTTGATACAGAGAAGCTGTTACCCAAGCAGCAGGTCCTTCCCCTCTCCACGGCGCCGAAAGTCTCCAATGGAAAGGCAAACGCCAATACGATTGGTTTCAGTGCCGTCGCAGGAACTGTCAGCTTGGGGCTCCAGCTCCAGAGTTTACCTCGAAGTTGTTGAAAGAGGCACAGGGACTCCAAACTCAGAGACCGCCATGGTCAGGGCCGGTGAAGAACCACCCCATCAAGGGCAAGAACGACCTCAGCCTAATGAAGCAGAGCCTGGGCCGCATGAGACCCAGGAGGTGGACATCCCAGTCCTGCACCTATGGGTTCCAGACAGATTGTCACAGCCCCCTCTCACTTGAGGCCGGCTTCCTTCAAGACCAAGCAGAATGAAGTGATAATTATTAATTAATGATATAATAATAATCGTCGTATTTAATAATTGGCACTCTTCCTTTTGCTTGGTCTTGAAGGAAGCCGGCCTCGGGTGAAAGAGGGCTGTGACAATCTCTGTCTGGAACCTGTAGGTGTTCTTACGTATACTGCGAGTCGTGTGTAAACCATTTTTCATTCATAAACGGGGTTTGGCAGGTGCATGAAATCACTTTTGTCCTTTGTTTATGAGGACAGGCTGGCAAGTTTTCCGACCATTTGTGGAATGCATGTAGAGCTCTTTGTAAGGCCTCAATATCATTGTCACTTCATAACTTAACCAAAAATCTTAGTGCCATCTATTTTAGGCTCTCTGACAAGGTAAGCAAGACATTTAGAGAAAAATGTCATCCAACAGCAAATGACTAAAATTAGACCAATGGCATACAGTGTGGTATGTGAAATAAAAGGGTTCACTTATCTTGAATATTTATTCACAATGTGTGTGTTTTCTGTGTATGACTTGTCCTGGTCAAGTGCTTTATCCACCTATTATTGTGTACAAGGACTTTTTTTTTTTTTCCCCTCTCTCTCTCTCTGATTTATATCCATTTTTCTTTAGTTACTGTATTTTATTTGTGAGTTGGCTAAGATGTTTACTAGTCAGCCCATCATCAAAATAAAGGACTGTGAGGGTCACAATGTGCAAGTTAAATACAGACTACAAAAACTACACAAGTCGGTACTGTATTTGGACAAAGTCCACCTAGCCATGTTTGAGGCTACGACTCAAAATTCAGCCCCTCTTCATTAATTTCTTCAAGAGGAAACTGGATTGTTTCCTTCAAGGAGTGCCGGACCAACAGGGCTGTGGTGGGTATGTGGGCCTGCAGGCTGGTCCAAGCAACAGCCTGGTGGACCAAACTCTCAAGTCAAGTCTGGCCTCGAGCCGGGCTTGGGGAGTAGAACTCCCAGAACCCCATTAACCAGGTATCAACCAGGTTAACAAAGGGCAAAGTCCATTCCATGCACCTGCCAAACACCCTTTTTATGAATGAAACAGTTAACTCATGACTCACAACTGATGACGTTAGAACACTTCTCAAACAAGTGCTTTGCTGATGACTTTTTTGAACCCCACCGTGGTAAATGCTTCACCCATGTACTACAAATACAAATACTGTAGTTGCCAACAGAACCTAAATCCCTAACCAATGCCTAAATTTGCACGGTATGCTAATGTAACTTAATTTTTATGAGGACATTCCTATTTTGAATGCACAGCATGTTAAAATTTAAAAATGTATCTTTGGGGATGGAATGGACTTGGTCTGAGGATGGGTTGCAAAATTTGCTGCTTTCACTTTCAGCCTGTATTGTAAACACACTCCAAATTAATGTAACCAAAACAGCTTACCTTACCTAACCTAGACCTAACTGCATATACCCACAATATATAATATTGCTACATTTCAGATTTTTTTATAGTACAGTATTGGAAAATATAGGTTTCTAGCTTAGGTATTAATAAGTTATTAGATACCAGTTGGACAATATTGAAATTGCAAGGTCTGAATGTGAGAAATATCTAGGAGATATGATCAGTAAGGATCATAAGCCAAAAAATCAGTGCATAAATATACAGAATAAAGCAAATAGGATACTTGCCTTTATTTATAAAAGCATTAACAATAAGACATCTAATATTATTGACAGCTTTATCTTGTCCTTGTCATGCCCTACTTTGATCCTGCAGTTCATTTTTGGTCTCTACCACAGGGTGGCTATTAATTAAATTGAATGCAAAGAGAAGAGAATGACAACATTAAATTATAAGTGCAACCTCTCAGAATTTTAAGTACAGTACACTATTTTTTTTTAATAAAGCACTTTAGTAACAAGATTGAATAATGCATTAAATGTTGTTCTATCTGGCTGCAGTTTCATTTTCAACACCAGACAAATCAATCATTGCCTTTGTGGAATTTAAGGAATTTGTGCACCCATTTTAATGTAACGGATATAAAAAGTACGAGACATAAGATCACGAGTTACCATGCTAAATGTGAAAAATCCCTTTCCATAATTGTCATCAACAAGAATGAAACTTTTAAACAATAATGCACTAACCTGTTGAGGCTTTGGTAAAACCAGGGAATTATAGAACAGTAGTGAGATTGTTTTATTTATATGCATAAGTCAGTATTAATACTGAACAGTATAATATAACTATTCTTTAAAATAATGAAAACTATACGTGTATTTAATCGTATAAATAACAAATTATCGGAAGAATCACCCTCGTTGAACTTGGATTTGGAACTTGCATGCTGGAAGCTGTGTAACTTCTGCTGTGACCACACAGGTGACACCCAAGTTGGCTAGACATCCACGCACTAGTCCACAAGTGAAGGCCAGGTACTTTAAAGATACAAAATAATGAAACTTGCTTCGATTCAGTATATAGTATAAATGTTTCTGTAAAAACAAAAAAAAATTAGAGATCGGGTAATTTTTATCTGCATTAAATTATGTTCAGAAACCTAATGAATGTACAGTAATATGTTGATTACCGCAGTACAAAATGGTACGGTATTAAACTCAAGTGATGCATTCAGTACCAGGATGTCACAATTTGCTAGATAGTATATCTTCCCCTCCTGTTTGAATATCTAGGAAGCTGTTTAAATTTGATGATGAGCTGATGAGCTAGATGGGGTGTAAAAGTATACTAGTGAAATTAGCTCTAGTTTTATTCAATGCAATACTGCCCTTTCCACAAAAAATTCAACTCGGATCAGCAACCTAAATATGCTTACTACTCTGGCACTATATCCATTAAAGAAATACTGTACAGTATAGCTATAATAGGAGAACAAATGTTCAGTAGCGTAAGAATAACATGTATTTGGAGGAGAAAAAATAAAAAAATAGTACAAGGCATGTGATTTCTTTTTAGAATCCTAGGTGTACTTCCTCATTAAAAGTGAACTACAACAGCACAACATTTAAAAATATCAAATACATTTCTGAGGTTATTGAGAAAATATACTATAACTACCATAACTCTTAGATGCCAGGAGAAAACTGTCAAGTCTCAAATACAGTGATATATAGATAAAGAGATAGATATAGATATAGTTAGATATAATTAACCTATGCTGAATTAGGACATTCATGTATCACAATGCTCGAAATGCTCTGCGTGTTAGTGTCTTTAAGCATTGTAAAGACAATGCCTTACCTCGGAATCCTCCACTGTTCTTGTATCCGATGTATGTACATACTTTTGTCTTAATTTATTATTATTTATTATAATATAATACTGGAAACCACACAATGGATAATTTATCTCACAAATATTAAATCTGGCTATTATAAACTGTATTTAGTGTTACATTCCTGACAAAACAATGCAAGTACTATACTTTTACTTACCCTTGGAGCATACTGAAGATATTGCTTTCCTGCTGCCATGTGAGAAAGAAAGCGAAACCGGTTGTCATGGAGGACATAAACCCCCTGGTGATTAGTTCGTAAATTATCAATCTGTTTCTTGTAAACGGTTACCCACAGGTCCTTACAAATGTATTTCATGATGTCCAACTCATCCTTATACCTTCCAGATTCCCTTGTTAATCTGTCAAAAGAAATTTTTTTAAACCAAATTTAGAAAATATTTTTTTTATCAAATCTTACAAATTTATAGGGAGATTGTTATAGCCATTTTAATTATGATGATGTTAATGTTTAGCCTCAGAACCTATCAGGAAAAGCTGTCAGGAAAAACAACAGAGTAGCCTACACCATCTGCAGACTTAGACCCATCGTTGAAGATGGTAACGGAGTGGCAGTGTGAAGAAAAGTGCTCAAGGAAAAGGCATTTCAGAACCGTAGGAGGGGTAAAAGCTTTAGTGATGTGGGTTAAGGATGTACAAAACTTCGGAAGGGGTACTCTCCATGGGGGCAAGGAAGGAATAACCCGAGGAGATACATGAGAAATAGTAGGCTACCATAGATGTAAGCAATACAATACACTTCCATATTTTATGTAATTGCCATTCCACATTTCCTACCTTTCAACAAGCCTGTAACCAGTGGCAAAACCCATGTGCTCCAATTTTGAGATGGCTTCATCCTAATGGGGATAAGAATGATAAATTAAGAGCTTGTTCCTTTTTATACAGTACAGTATATCATTTATCAAGAAATTTCACATAACAATCAAGTGTATGCTTATTTTAATCTCATTACAGAAGACAAAAATTTGAGTCACTTAGTAACTTTATTTAGTAAACTTATCATTTAATTAACTACACCTTCAAACTGCACATCTATTTGTTTTAGGTCCCTTTCCTAGTGCTTAAAAAAATTCTTTCCTTCTTATGTCATAAAACATTTATTTTTAATGTTGGGGAAAAATTATAATCCGTACTACCTGTACAGGTTGTACTGTACTATATATAGCTGTACTACCTGTACAGCAGGACTACCTATACAGGTAGTACAGCTACCTGTTTGACTGCTACCGGAGGCTCCTGGAAGTACAGTCGGGGTTGTTCTCAACTCACAATCGAGATTTCCTGGTTCTATTTCCCGGCAAGACAGAAATGGTTGGGGACGTTTCCTATCACCTAATGCTCCTGATCACCTAACAGTATATAGGTATCCAAGAGTTAATCAACTTGGTGCGGAGTTGCATCTTTGAGACCTCGATTTAAGCCTAACATGTACTGCATGCATAAGCAGGCTGCCTGTCCTTCCCCCCCCCCCCCCACCCCAAACAGCAAATTAAAAATTATTAAACAGAACCTGCCTAGTATGGGTAAAAAAGCCTGCTCTTTAATTCTTATGTACACATCATTAGGTTGGTCTAGGTTAGCTTAGATTTGGCTCAGTTGGAGTGGATATTAAAATGCAGTTAATTGTTTTGGGTACCTCCATTACCTATGCAACTTTGATAAAGAACTTCTTGCGTGCTATTGTACATGACAACACACACTATTTGATAATGTACTTAGGAAAAAACTACAGTATATAATGACAGTTGCCAAGCCAATAAGCTTGTGTATCTGTTTATCTAATGGCCACCATATCTCTAGTGGCCTGGATGAGGACAGGAAGCCAGCAACTTGTCAAAGATCCGCTCCCATGTAAAATTCATACAATTATTATATTAGAGGTTACCTTGAGGTGGGCCAAAGGGTCCCAGTAGTGAGTCAGGTTCATTCTCAACTCACAATAGAGAACTCCGAGTTCAAATCCCGGGTGGGACAGAAATGGTTGGGCGCATTTCCTATCACCTCATGCCCCTGTCCACCTAGCAGTAAACAGGTACCCAGGAGTTAGTCAGCTTCTTGTGGGGTTGCACCGTGGGGAAGGGTCAATAATTAGACCCTGGGGGAACCTTGATAACTAGCACCTGTACTAATGAAAGGAAATTACGAGAAGAACATTTTAAACAAGTATAATGGATAGCACATTTTAGGGTTATGAGGACAGCATGGAAGCTGGGATAGAGGAACAATATGAAGAAATGATGCCCAGCCACTTGAAACTATTGGGGGATTGAACAACGGTACTGCAAGAAGAGAGGTCAAATTTTCCAACTTGACGGACTAGCACATAGCCTATACTGCCCCTTACAAGATAGCTCAGGGCTCCACAATAGTCCCCAGCTAAATTAACACTGGCAATTAACCTGCACCTCCCCATACATGATAGCTTAGAACTGGGGAGTCTATGGAAGAATATCATGGGGGGGGGAGGGGGGGCATGGTAATTCTATTTAATTTTCTGTTTTTATTTTACTGCAATTAGGAGAAATGCATTTCAGCATAAATCTCTGGTGTGACCCATTTGGATTATTGCTAGCATGGGAAAACTCATCTTCAGAAAGACATATTGTAGCTGGTTTGAAGAAAGTTCAACACACAGGTAACAAAATTAATTCCAGAACCAAGTTGACTCTCATACCAGGAACAGTTGAAGGCCTCAGATCTAGAAACACTGCATACCATGCATGACAGGGCAGTTTGCATCAAAACTTAAAATACTGAACAATTTGGAGGATGTTGATTGACGTCGTCTTCAAAAGGTCACATGTAATGCAGACAAGGAGTAACGGTTCCAAGCTCAACAAGCCACAACGCAGGCTTGAAAACCATGAGAAGTTTCTTCACCTACAGGATTATAAACCCATGGAACTGCCTACCTGCCGAAGCCATGAAAGCCAAAACTTAAATTTTTAAATCCAGCTGGAAAAAATCATGGACGATAAATGACGGATCCTTTGACAAGCCACTGGCTTCCTGTCCTCGTCAAGGCTATTAGTGCATTAATGGCCCTCAGGTAAATTCAGGTAAATACTATACAATCCTTAAAACTAGATGTTCAAACTCTACAATATTTATCACTTTACGTTATCATGACATTCAACATATAAAAATGTGCATTAGGCTTCCACAGGTGTGCTAGTGGATGGAAATGTTGGTGAATGAGGCATAACATGTTGAGAAGCAGTGGTTTAAGGTCCCCATGACAGTCCTCAGCCTGACACTAGCACTAAGCCAGTAACCTACACCCTCCCTAAGGATAGCATTACAACTCCCGCCTCCCCATTAGAGTTTACAACTAAGCTACCACCAGCGAGTAGCCTTCCCCCACACTCACTTCTGACATCTTCTCTCCTCCTTGGAAGGCGTACCTGACGGCCTCCATGTGAATGAAGTCGAACATCACCTCCTCAGCCATGGTGGGCGTCTGTGGGCCGCCCTCCACCACCAACCTCACAACAACAACAACACACACTCAGGGTTGCCAGCTCCAAATTCCTGAAAGTAGCGAATTTGTAATAAAACTAGCACAATTTTTTTTAGTGATTGATACGGGTTTCAAAGTAATATATATTGATATATAGAGTACACTACACGATGTACATATACATATATTATATATATATATATATATATATATATATATATATATATATATATATATATATATATATATATATATATATATATATATATATATATATAAAGTAAAAGCACACAGAAACTGTATTGGGGGGGATCTAAACATTCCCTCTAATGCGTTATGCGTGGTTTCCTCCGAGGCTATGGGTCCCCCTTCTTCCAGCTAGAGGTGGTACTCCCTTCTATATTATATATATATATATATATATATATATATATATATATATATATATATATATATATATATATATATAAATAACATGGGTACCACCTCTGGTGCCAATGTGGGGACCCATAGCCTCGGGCTATATATATATATATGTATATATATATATATATATATATATATATATATATATATATATATATATATATATATATATATATAATGTCGTACCTAGTAGCCAGAACGCAATTCTCAGCCCACTATGCAAGGCCCGATTTGCCCGATTTACCAAGAACCCACCCGAAGCCGGACAGACACCCTCCTGGAGCCCGAACAGTCACCCACCCGGAGCCCGACCAGTCAAACACCCGGAGCCCGCCAGTTTAGTAAACCAGAGCCCGCCAGTTGAGTGAACCGGAGCCCGCCAGTTGTTTGAACTGGAACCCGTCAGTTGAGTACCTGGAGCCCGCCCCGAGCCCGACCGAGAACCCACCCAGAGCCCTACCGAGAACCCACCCTGATCCCTACAGAGAACCCACCCCGAGTCCTATCAAGAACCCACTCTGAGCCCTACAGAGAGCCCACCCTGAGCCTGACCAAGAACCTACCCCGAGCCCTACAGAGGTAACCCAAGCCCGAGAGTCCATCCCGAACCCGAAAGAGCCCACCCCGAGCCTGACCGAGAGCCAACCCTAAGCCCTACCAAGAACCCACCCCCAAGCCCTACCAAGAACCCACCCCCAAGCCCTACCAAGAACCCACCCCCAAGCCCTACCAAGAACCCACCCGAAGCCGGACAGACACCCACCTGGAGCCCGAACAGTCACCCACCCGGAGCCCGACCAGTCAAACACCCGGAGCCCGCCAGTTTAGTAAACCGGAGCCCGCCAGTTGAGTGAACCGGAGCCCGCCAGTTGAGTGAACTGGAACCCGTCAGTTGAGTACCTGGAGCCCGCCCCGAGCCCTACCGAGAACCCATCCCGATCCCTACAGAGAACCTGCCCTGAGCCCTACCAACAACCCACCCCGAGCCCTACAGAGAACCCACCCTGAGCTCGACCAAGAACCTACCCCGAGCCGTACAGAGGTTCCCCAAGCCCGAGAGCCTATCCCGATCCCGAAAGAGCCCACCCCGAGCCTGACCGGGAGCCCACCCCAAACCCGACCAAGAACCCACCCCCAAGCCCTACCAAGAACCCACCCCCAAGCCCTACCAAGAACCCACCCCCAAGCCCTACCAAGAACCCAGCCCAAATACCTACCAAGAACCCACCCCAAGCCCTACCAAGAACCCACCCGAAGCCCTACCAAGAACCCACCCTGAGCCCGACCAAGAACATACCCCGAGCCCTACAGAGGTACCCCAAGCTCGAGAGCCTATCCCGATCCCGAAAGAGCCCACCCCGAGCCTGACCGGGAGCCAACCCCAAACCCTACCAAGAACCCACCCCCAAGCCCTACCAAGAACCCACCCCAAGCCCAACCAAGAACCCACCCCCAACCCCAACCAAGAACCCACCCCAAGCCCTATCAAGAACCCACCCCCAAGCCCTACTAAGAACCCAGCCCCAATACCTACCAGAACCCCCCCAAGCCCTACCAAGAACCCACCCGAAGCCGGACAGACACCCACCTGGAGCCCGAACAGTCACCCACCCGGAGCCCGACCAGTCAAACACCCGGAGCCCGCCAGTTTAGTAAACCGGAGCCCGCCAGTTGAGTGAACCGGAGCCCGCCAGTTGTGTGAACTGGAACCCGTCAGTTGAGTACCTGGAGCCTGCCCCGAGCCCGACCGAGAACCCACCCAGAGCCCTAACGAGAACCTACCCTGATCCCTACAGAGAACCCACCCCGAGTCCTATCAAGAACCCACCCCGAGTCCTATCAAGAACCTACTCTGAGCCCTACAGAGAGCCCACCCTGAGCCTGACCAAGAACCTACCCCGAGCCCTACAGAGGTAACCCAAGCCCGAGAGCCCATCCCGAACCCGAAAGAGCCCACCCCGAGCCTGACCGAGAGCCAACCCTAAGCCCTACGAAGAACCCACCCCCAAGCCCTACCAAGAACTCACCCCCAAGCCCTACCAAGAACCCACCCGAAGCCGGACAGACACCCATCTGGAGCCCGAACAGTCACCCACCCGGAGCCCGACCAGTCAAACACCCGGAGCCCGCCAGTTTAGTAAACCGGAGCCCGCCAGTTGAGTGAACCGGAGCCCGCCAGTTGAGTGAACTGGAACCCGTCAGTTGAGTACCTGGAGCCCGCCCCGAGCCCTACCGAGAACCCACCCTGAGCCCGACCAAGAACCTACCCCGAGCCCTACAGAGGTTCCTTAAGCCCGAGAGCCTATCCAGATCCCGAAAGAGCCCACCCCGACCCCTACCGAGAACCCACCCCCCAAGCCCTACCGAGAACCCACCCCCCAAGCCCTACCGAGAACCCACCCCCCAAGCCCTACCGAGAACCCACCCCCCCAAGCCCTACCGAGAACCCACCCCCCCAAGCCCTACCGAGAACCCACCCCCCCAAGCCCTACCGAGAACCCACCCCCCCAAGCCCTACCGAGAACCCACCCCCCCAAGCCCTACCGAGAACCCACCCCCCCAAGCCCTACCGAGAACCCACCCCCCCAAGCCCTACCGAGAACCCACCCCCCCCAAACCCTACCGAGAACCCACCCCCCCAAACCCTACCGAGAACCCACCCCCCAAGCCCTACCGAGAACCCACCCCCCAAGCCCTACCGAGAACCCACCCCCCAAGCCCTACCGAGAACCCAGCCCCAAGCCCTTACCGAGAACCCAGCCCCAAGCCCTACCGAGAACCCAGCCCAAAGCCCTACCGAGAACCCAGCCCCAATACCTACCAAGATCCCACCCCAAGCCCTACCAAGAACCCACCCGAAGCCGGACAGACACCCACCTGGAGCCCGAACAGTCACCCACCCGGAGCCCGACCAGTCAAACACCCGGAGCCCGCCAGTTTAGTAAACCGGAGCCCGCCAGTTGAGTGAACCGGAGCCCGCCAGTTGAGTGAACTGGAACCCGTCAGTTGAGTACCTGGAGCCTGCCCCGAGCCCTACCGAGAACCCACCCTGAGCCCGACCAAGAACCTACCCCGAGCCCTACAGAGGTTCCCCAAGCCCGAGAGCCTATCCCGATCCCGAAAGAGCCCACCCCGAGCCTGACCGGGAGCCAACCCCAAACCCTACCAAGAACCCACCCCCAAGCCCTACCAAGAACCCACCCCCAAGCCCTACCAAGAACCCACCCCCAAGCCCTACCAAGAACCCACCCCCCCAAGCCCTACCAAGAACCCACCCCCAAGCCCTACCAAGAACCCACCCCAAGCCCTACCAAGAACCCACCCGAAGCCCTACCAAGAACCCACCCTGAGCCCGACCAAGAACATACCCCGAGCCCTACAGAGGTACCCCAAGCTCGAGAGCCTATCCCGATCCCGAAAGAGCCCACCCCGAGCCTGACCGGGAGCCAACCCCCCCAAACCCTACCAAGAACCCACCCCCAAGCCCTACCAAGAACCCACCCCCAAGCCCTACCAAGAACCCACCCCAAGCCCTATCAAGAACCCACCCCCAAGCCCTACCAAGAACCCAGCCCCAATACCTACCAAGAACCCACCCCAAGCCCTACCAAGAACCCACCCGAAGCCGGACAGACACCCACCTGGAGCCCGAACAGTCACCCACCCGGAGCCCGACCAGTCAAACACCCGGAGCCCGCCAGTTTAGTAAACCGGAGCCCGCCAGTTGAGTGAACCGGAGCCCGCCAGTTGTGTGAACTGGAACCCGTCAGTTGAGTACCTGGAGCCTGCCCCGAGCCCGACCGAGAACCCACCCAGAGCCCTAACGAGAACCTACCCTGATCCCTACAGAGAACCCACCCCGAGTCCTATCAAGAACCCACCCCGAGTCCTATCAAGAACCTACTCTGAGCCCTACAGAGAGCCCACCCTGAGCCTGACCAAGAACCTACCCCGAGCCCTACAGAGGTAACCCAAGCCCGAGAGCCCATCCCGAACCTGAAAGAGCCCACCCCGAGCCTGACCGAGAGCCAACCCTAAGCCCTACGAAGAACCCACCCCCAAGCCCTACCAAGAACCCACCCCAAGCCCTACCAAGAACCCACCCGAAGCCGGACAGACACCCATCTGGAGCCCGAACAGTCACCCACCCGGAGCCCGACCAGTCAAACACCCGGAGCCCGCCAGTTTAGTAAACCGGAGCCCGCCAGTTGAGTGAACCGGAGCCCGCCAGTTGAGTGAACTGGAACCCGTCAGTTGAGTACCTGGAGCCCGCCCCGAGCCCTACCGAGAACCCACCCTGAGCCCGACCAAGAACCTACCCCGAGCCCTACAGAGGGTCCTTAAGCCCGAGAGCCTATCCAGATCCCGAAAGAGCCCACCCCGACCCCTACCGAGAACCCACCCCCCAAGCCCTACCGAGAACCCACCCCCCCAAGCCCTACCGAGAACCCACCCCCCCAAGCCCTACCGAGAACCCACCCCCCCAAGCCCTACCGAGAACCCACCCCCCCAAGCCCTACCGAGAACCCACCCCCCCAAGCCCTACCGAGAACCCACCCCCCCAAGCCCTACCGAGAACCCACCCCCCCAAGCCCTACCGAGAACCCACCCCCCCAAGCCCTACCGAGAACCCACCCCCCCCAAG